TCAGTTACGAGGAAGGCTCCATCAAATGACTTGTCTACCTATTGGGGTTGGCCATAGCTCCGAAAATGTTTGCTTCGGTGACAATTGGACAGCCGAGCTATATATAACCCGTCAGGGCTTAAGAGTGATCGTTTTCTTGGACGATTACTTACTGGTCACCAGGACGAAAATTCTTAACTCCCAGGTTTTCATAGCCATGACCTTTTTGAAGAACCTGGGCTGGACCATAAATCTAGAGAAGTCGATATGCACTCCAACGAAGTCGATCGATTTTCTGGGTATCACTGGGACACCTACAAATGTAAAGTCCTTACCCGCAGAAAAAGTTCGTCAGTGCCTGAAAACACGCTTGTCAGCCGGCAAATTGGACCCTCAAGCAGGCCCAAGCCTCTTAGGGTATCTCAATTTTGCGACCTTCATCACCCACCGGGGAAGGTTGCTTTGCCGAACGCTGCAGCGACATGAATGCATTTAGGAGAGCTCCTCTTTGCCCGATTTCTCTTGCAGGGGTGAATCAGGACATGGTATGGTGTTTGCACAACCTCAGTCACAAAAACCGATACTTCAAAACAAGGCATGTGAATTACATTGTCACCATGCCTCGGATCTACATGGGGAGCGCTAATCAACAACAAGCCCCTGAATGGTTCTTAGACTCAAAGTCAGATTGAGTGGTATTGCAATTTAAAGGAGATGCACGCTGTGTAGCAACAATGTCTTTGACATCCGAAGTCCAAAGAAGTCGATGGTAATCCTGCAAAGCGACACAAAATGTTGTTCGTACATAAAAAAAACGAAGGAGGAACAAGGTCCCAAATGCTGTTAAAATTGACAAAAGATCATCTGGCACTGACGGACAGTTTGAATATTGTACTTATCCCTCACTTCCTTGCCGGGAATGTACAACGTGGAAGCCGATTACTCTCAATGCAAGGTCACCGAATGGCATCTCTTGAAAGAGGCAACCACGACATATTCAGACATGGGGAACCCCGAAATAGATCTTTTCGCGTCACGAGAGGCTCTTGTCGTGGCAAGTTATGTGTCGCTAGACTTATTAGACTCCAACACTTGCTTCACACCCTTCAGCAATGCTGGCGATATGACCTAGCGTGGATATTTCCACCGCCAGTGCCTCTACCTCGAGTGCTGCACCATCTCAACTATCCCAAGGGAAGGTCATAATCATAGCACCCAGGTGGAGGAAGCCTTTTTGGCGCCCGGATTTGAAAGGCCGAGCACTTGCACCCTCGTCAATACGGAATCTAAACAAAACCTACAAATCCGTAACGGGTCAACCTTCTCCCAAGGGCAAAATTACAGTTGGAACGTGCTGATTTGGCTGGTAAACACATACGAAAAACAACTTTCGTCGTGTTTGAGAGCTTAATAAGGAAAACATATGCCCCTAGGTATAAATGAGTAAATTGGTGTCAACATAGTAATAAAATTGTCGATTCCCGGCTCCTCCTGGTGTAGCTGGAACTAGCAACCTATTTATAAAGGATCATCTGGCTAATATCATATATCAAATCTATTATCATTCAAATAGATCTATCTTTTTAGTTCACAAATCTGACATACTCAATTGTGAGGCTCTAACGATGTAAAAATTTCATCTAATAAATTAGTAAAACAATCCTTAAAGCTCAATCCTCTAGTAGACCAATCGCGCAGTAATTGCCATATGCGATGCGGGGATAGTTATAAATTATTTTAAAAGCCTAAAACTAGATGAGCAAAATTATTTCATATCTCAAACGCACAGCCACAAAATTTATTGGCTTCTGGGCATAGAGTTCATGTTTTAACTCTCTTGATGCGAGCTACTTGAAACGGTGATTCCATCACTTGCCGGTTCGGTTCTAAAACAATCAGGAACGTATAGACAATCAAGTTGGACGTTTTATCTTGCTCGGATAAGCATCTAAATCCCTTATTTTGGCTTAGGACACTCATACTGTCTCATAATAGGTGAGGCTCCTTAAAATTTGTTTATTACAACTAGATTTCCTGTATAAGACCACTACGCCCACAATTTTAGGGGCTGGGTAAAGAAACCCTTTTGGAATCAGGTATCGAACATCGCGGGAGTAGTTGATCAGCTGTTGCTTCGCTAAATTTTTTTTGGAAAATTGTATTCTTGCTAACAAATTGGCGTCATGAAAGTACTTAAAGATATATTATTGTCGGAATCTAGATAATAACAGTCAGAATGCTGAGACTCAGTCTTTTTCTCAGTACGCTTAATGATAAGCCAGGTTTTCTACTTCATTATAAACAATGAAAATTTTGTTATTATGTTTATTAAATGATGCTAAAGCTTAGGATTTAATTAGCTTGTATTGTTTATTTCATCATGATTCTATCGGAAATAAAATATAATTCAAATCACATTGTTGCGTTTTTAGTTATTATTATAACTAAAAACCAACAATGTGACTGTACTTTACAAGCCACCAGGAGATAACAAACACGTCTCTCATAATGGACCTCGGACGTCAAACGGAACACATAATAAAAAATTTTACCTTAAAATAAAATTTGTATTATGTTTCCTAAGACGTCCGAGTCCAACAACTCTTCCTGGTTCTCTTTATGAGAAAACAATGAAAAAGAATTCTGGCGGCTTGCTTTAGCGCGGTAAAAAGTTAGTTCCAGTTTCAAACCTGGCCTGCGGCGGTTCACGTGGTGGAAAAGGTCGGATCTCTGGGCGAAACGGAAACATTACTCTCATAATGGACCTCGACGTCTTAGGAAACTATACAAATTTTATTTTAAGGTAAAATTTTTATAATATTTAGTATTATTTGTTGTTTTAAATGTGTAGTTTTAGTTTTCTTTATATAGTTTTGTCTATTGATGTGCTTATTTGTTTTATTTTTCGTATATAATATTGTTTATCTATGTAATCTGTTTTGGCTTTCTGTACTGTCTAAGTGTTTGTTTTATAATACTATGTATGTTAGCTGTAAGATTACTTATAATTAAATAAATAATATTTAAATACGCAATGAGAAAATTTAGCTGAACAGTAATTTGGAAATGCAAGTGAAACCTTCGGCTAAGCACTAGATTGCGATCAAATAATTTATTATTTCCAGACAAAGTTGCAGATTCCAGTTTAATTTACATCCTGTAACAAATGACACATGGCTTTTGAAGTGAATGCTAACTTTTTACTGTTATAAATGATATGTTACGCTTTCAGAATTAAAATTAAATTATGTTACAAACAGAGGTTTAATGAATAAATTACATATGAAGCACAACGCATCTACAATTCTCTCTAAAAAATGTGTCAAGTCAAACGCACGAGTGGTTGTGAACTGTTTATTTGGGTTTTCTTTATAATGACGTCGGTACCTACTTTTAAAGCAAGGGTTTCTTCAAATTCTTTTACCGTTTTTATAGTTTTATCTTACACAGGGTACGCGAAGCTAACACACAGCAACTTCTATGAACTCTTTATATAAAGGAAAGCTTTATTAAATTTCATCCAAATGTAAAAGACACTTTTGAATTGTTCATAGTACAAAACACTGAAAAGGCGCTTCAAGCTATTTATCTAGATTATAATTTCATTGACGAAAATTATTATAATTAATATTTTGAATGATTTATGTGTACACTCTTATCGAAATTGCAATCATCGGAAAGTCGAATAACGGGTGTAAATGAATGGGTCCTCTCGAGGAATCAACGGATCGTGACACTCGATACTGAATAATTCATTTAATCAATTTAATAGGAACAACGCACTCGTAGAACAGGCACCGTCTTTATAGCGAAATAAATACTTATCAAATCAAATAAGTCGATATTGTTATGGTATTTATGACTCTATTATGCTTATATTACGATGCTTTATTGATTGATTATATCCGGGTATCTATATCATTATCATATTTTCGATACTACATATACCAAAGTATATACGTAATGTGTTTAGGCGTCTTATTTCTACATATAAAATATAGTCGCTTTTCGTAGTCATCTGTAGTTAGACCGACTAAACTACGAGACATATTTTAATACAGTTCTTATAATAGACAGATAGGTTTAAGTAGATTTATTTGCATAACAATATCTACATAATAAAAGACAATGGCGCAGTCTGTACTTGGAACTATATCATTCCACGTGAATGAAGATTCGTGAAGTTTTTTATGATTAATAATTAACGATACCCTTTGCTTGATACCATTGTTTTATTTCAAGATATCACTGATTTGCTTAAGTCTGTCAAGAAAGAAATATTGTGTTTATATGACACTAAATGCGTTATTGTGTGAGTTTGTTTTGTACGACAAAAATCAATTTTTTAGTTTCTAGTACAGTGAACTTGAGTAATCTTATCGCACTTTGTAGATCGATTATAATAATTATTATGTGTATTAAATATATTGTTATAATTTCTTAAGTTTTTCGTTGATTAAGCGTTAAAAATTAAAGTCAACATAGCCTTTCAATTTTTATTATCAACGCTACGTTTCTAGAATTAAACAGATTCTCATAAATTAAAACAGTTCAATAAGAAATTTTTTGGTACATTTTCATATAATTACTAAATTGAGTCTGATATTCGTTTAAATTACACACTCGACAAAATTTATCTATATTCGTATAGTAAGATAAACCTTACTTTTTAAGCTTATTAGGAGCTAAAACTTACAACTAATTATATTAATTACAATTGCTGTTTTACACTTTTAAAATGTATATACAATACTAACTTAAATCACCTTCGTAAATAAACTTTTAAATTATTAATCACAATCTTACAAGCTATACGTTAAACGTTTCGTAGATAATCTTTATAATGTAACATAAAATGTTATTTAAAGGTTATAATAAAGGGATGAATGCGAAAATAAAACATCCATTAACAATAGATCTAAACTAGCATCCAATTAAACATACAATGGAAAATGGAATCGAAAATCCACAATTTTCGTTTCCCAATTTGTAAACAAGTATTAATGCCTTTTATTTTTGGTTCAATCACATGGTTTAAACGGAGGTTTTGTTGAGTCTGTGATAGTGTTTATATCCATGTCCATTGTTTGCTCAATATTAGGTACAGGAAAATTGTCATAGGAAATGTATTGCGGTGTTCGCTGCACCTCAGCTTTGGCAATGACCGGCCGTTTTTTAGTCTTCATATAACCTAATGCTGACACCAAGACAATGAACACTATAAACCCAATACAACAGCCTACAACAAGGCTAAGGCGCCTCGTTAATATGTCAGCGATTCCCATATAAGTGTTTGAGAATGGGCCATCTAAGGACGTGCCAAAGATCTCTATTGTTGTCACCGTTGTACATTTACTGGTTTGAGTGTCATTCATATAGCCCCTCAGGTGATTAAAGAGAAGCTCGTCGCCATACAATTGAACACTCATGTTTTCCGATGACAGAGCAATTCGTGCGTCGGGCACGGACGATCCCGCTGACACGCCAAAGTTTCCCGTCGCTATAACGCAAATCGTATACTTAGCTCCAGGAGTCAAATGGTTTAATCTTGTCATCCTCGCTGTAGCGTTCACTATTTTACCACGAATCTGAAAGTATCATAATTTAAATCATACAAAATAGCTATCTATCTGTACAGAGTAAAAACCTCGCATGAACAATTGTTAAAGGGAAGATTTAAATGGATTCACCGTACAACCAAAATATCCACGGTCGAGGAACATAAATATTTTTTATGGTCCATTGAAGTGATGCACAGCCTTTGTATTCAAATGTTTGTTGTAATGGTAACTCTACTCTTTTCATGCAACACGTTCCATTCATAATTATTAATTGTTAATTTATTTCAGGTATTATAATATTTGTGTGGCTTTAAATGAAAATTTGCATTCATATAAAGATCGCATGTAATTTTAAAAGTATACAATTTTTTTGTTCTGATTTTAATGACTATTTATATACATGTACAATTCATTTGTGGACTAAACAGTGAAGAAAAACATGACAGTGAAATATCTGCAACCAGAGACCGCGACTGATCTGGTATGAAACAAAGGCGTACTGTGAGTGATCATTGACCTTCATTAGAAGGAACAATTGCTTCATTTATATCGTGCGTTTACGAAGCACAGATTTTACATGGATATAAAAAAGTTAATACTCACTACTGCTGGCATCTGTTCCTTGTAGTAAGCTACTTGGTATCCACTTAAGCCGCTCTGATTGCGGCTCTGCCAAGACACTATTACAGAATAGGTTTGAATGTCTTGAATTGCAATACGAATTACGACCGGCACGTCGCATAGCTTTTGCGATGTCAACTCCAAAAAACTGTATCCGTGAAGTTCTTCCGGATGTTCACATCTCAAGTTGCTGCTACCTTTTAGCACTATTTTATAATGGTTTTGCATCCATTTCCATGTCTCTTGAGATTCACAGTTACATGTTAATGGATTTTCTGAAAATACACGTTTATGTTAAATGTCTTAAAGATTTATAAGTTTGAATTTTAATTGACGCATTTATTCGATAAAGAGAATATTTTTTACACTAGGTCTATTTTATTCAAACTATGTGATTACTACACGAGGAGACTTTAAATGTGTAATAATTCGGATTATTAATAATTGGTTTTATAAATAATATATTTTATTAATTATATATACGTACCATCGAAAGATATTGATTTTATTTGAGTTTCCAATGAGACAAGGATTCTTATTGGAATGATTTCAAAGTAGTTTTTACTAAAGTCTATATTGACGATTTTATTTAATACTTTGAAAGTATCACTTGCTATGAATGAAAGCCAATTTCCACTTAAATTCAATTCAGTCAGACTCTGGAGATTGTGAAATATTCCTTTGTTTATTCTTGTAATGTGATTGAAAGACAAGTCCAATTTTTGTAAGCTTTGCAGATCAGCAGTGAATTCTTCGAGTTCCCTTATAGTGTTTTGTGACATATTTAATAAGGTCGCAGAAAATAGTCCTTGTAACCTTTCTCTCGGAATGTTTTCTAGTTTATTTTCACTCATATCCAGTATTATCAAGTTGTGCAGTTTGGAAAACGCTCCCGGTGATAATCGAATTAGACAATTCGTTTTCAGTATCAACTTTTTCAAGGATGGAAAGTTTTCAAAGTCCTTGCTTGTTATAATTGTTAAATTGGTGTTCGTGATTATAAGTTCCTCTAATAATGGAAATTGTTTGATTGGATATGATTGTAACAATTGCACCAATGAGTTCGAAGACATATTTAATGTCGTTAATGCTGGGAGTACGGTTTCAGAAAGGCCATTACTAGGAATGTGCTTGAAAAAATTATGTGACAAATCAATTTCTTTTAGTCCTAAAGAATGTTGGAAAAAATTCGGTGGAAGAACTGTAAGTAGGTTATTGTTCAAATTTAATGTAACTAAATTTTTCAAAGATGGTGAATTAAAACCATTTAAAACCGATATACGATTATTACATAGGTTAAGCGTCCTTAAATTTTGTAAGCCAGTGAATTTAAAAAAATCTATACTGTGTAGTTGATTCTCGCATAGATTTAAATTCTCTAATGAGGTCACGTTAAATAACGCGACGTGAGGGAAGTCGGTGAAGCTATTTCCTTTCAAATTTAATTCTTGTAAAATAGTTGTGTAAGCAAAAATGTCTTTATGAATATCTTTTAAATAGTTATTAGCTAAATTAACTCGAAGTAAATTTTGGTTTTTAATAAATATAGATGGGGGTAGGTATGTTATATTTGACATTTCAAGAGACAAGGACTGAAGAGATGGTAAATGAGAAAATGTTTTTAATTCGAGCAGTGTAAAATTATTGTTTGATAATACTAATGTCTTTAGTCCAGGTATTTGAATTTGAGTGACATCTTCCCACGTTAAGAAATTATTATTCATATCTAAATCATTTAAATTTGGAAGAGTTTTTAGTGATTCTGTTTGGATAATCGTTATAGCATTAAAATTAAGCCGAATTTGTTTAACTGGTAACGTAGACATATCGAAGTCTAAACTTACGATCCCATTATGAGATAAGTCTAAAATTTTTAGCCTTACCAAGCCGTTGAACGTTTCCTTGTCTATGTGGTTTATATGATTATTTTGCAGATACAGTTCTTCCAACGTTACAATATCAAAAAACGTTTCATTGTTCAGAGTTGTAAGCCTATTGCTACTTAAGTCTAAATACTTAATTTTCTTTAAATGCATAAAACTCTTATTGTCAATATGTACAATACTATTATTCTTAACATACAGCCTTTGGATATTAAATAATTCATTAAAAAGATTGGAAGTGAGTACTTTTAAGTTATTTTCTGTGAGCCACATTATTTGTACGTTAACCTGACCGCGTAGAGAACTATTTTTCAATAGAGATAGTTGATTTGTACTGAGTTGAATAGAGACTAATGAAGAATTTCTATTAGGGAATACATCACCAATCATGTTAAGCTGATTACCTTGCAAGTTAATATGTTGCAGTTTTTTCAATGTAATGAATGCATGCGAATCTATGCTCTGTATAATATTGTTTTGCAAATGTAATTCTAATAATTCAGGCAGTGGGCTGAAGACATTTCTTTTAATGTGCCTTATTTTATTATTTTGTAGCCTTAATTCTCTTAATTCTTCTAATTTCTCAAATACAGACTCACTTATTTCACTAATTCCATTATTATCAAGACTTAGCGTAACTAATTTAGCATTTGCTGCAAAAACTTGATTTGGAAGCTTTTTTAAAAAATTTGTTCCCACATGTAGTTGTGTCAAATTATGTAATGAACTAAAGCAAGAAGGATGTAAAAACCGTATTGCGTTATGCTCTAGGTTTAAAACTGCTAATGATAAAGCGTTCTGAAATGCATCCTCTGGTATTTCTAAGATATTATTTTCCGATAAAAATATTTCGGCAAGTTTACTTAAACCAGAAAAAACTCCAGCTATATAATGAAGATGATTATGACTTAAATCTATTGTACGGATATTACGATTTCTTTGAAAAATGTTTTTAGAAATACTTATTAATTTATTTCGACTTAAGTCTATAGTTTCTAAATTAGTTAAAGAATAAAAAGCTTGCTCATCAATATGTTTAATTTGATTGCTAAAAAATGTAAGTGTTTTGACACGTGGAACACAGTTTAACCAATTCCTTTCAATTCTCGTAAGAGAATTTGAGCTTAAATCTAAGGATATTAATTTTTCTATGATTACATTTGAACTATTTGGCATTGATTCTATTTTGTTCCATGCTAGCCGCAAACTACTAAGTTTAGTTAGATTTTCCAATGGTCTCAAAGGAAAAATGTAAAGAAAATTCCCAGTAATATCCAACTCAGTCAAAGTTTCCTCTAAGTAATGAAATGCATTTTCTGAAATATTTTCTATTTTATTACCCTTCAAATTGATTTTATTCAGTTTGAGATGTTGAAAAGTGTTCTCTTGAATTTCTTTGATCTCGTTCAGTTGTAAGTCAAGTGTTTCAATATTATGTAATTGAGAAAAAGATTCTTGAGGTATCCTTTTCAATTTACCGGAAATTATGCTTAAAGACCCCAAGGAGTCACGAAGAGATAAAAAAGCGTTTGCATTTATCGTATCAATGTTCGATTGAGAAATTTGTAAATTGATTATTTTCACTTGTGGAGGAAAAAGATCGGGCTTTAACTCGGTTATTAAGCTTTCCAGGTCATAAATTGATAAAGACTGAATGGATCCTTTTATCTTGGATAATACATTTTTGACGACACTTGGGGTTGCACTGGGACATTCGAGAAATAATCCTGAAATAAAATTGTCGGTTAGATTGAGGTGAAATATCCAACTAGCAACTTATGATTAGTTTTTTACCTTCTTTGAAATTATAACAGGGACAAATTGGATTATCTGAGAGACTTGGACACTGCGATTGTTCTTCTCCTTGCAGTATCGGGATATTTATTATTGTGAAGAATGCGTATAGTCCACATTTTAATATGGGTGATAAAGTGAGACCCATATTGATTTGACGTCATTTCCATTTCATAGTGGTTTCTCGGCGAATATGAACCGATAGATTACCTGTAAAGAACAATATCTATAGGTATGTAAACTTAAACTAATGTACATATGAACACCACTGCGCTTTATATGAAGGTAAGCCAAGCTTAATTTGTGATTAGTAAAAAAACTATGAACAAAATCTAAATTAAAACTATATTCAAATAGGTTTAATGGAACACACGAACATATGGCTAAGACTTCAATCATTGTTATAAGCATCTATTTAGACCCCTAAAGTTCCTCATGAACTATAATAATAAATATTTAAATTACATATGGATATAATCTGAAATAAACAAGTTACTATTACTATAAAGTGTTGTGTTTCAAATTTCTTTAATGATATCGAATATAAAAAAATAACTTTGACTAAGACGGGTTTTTAAAAATTGTTAATCTGTCAATGTTAGGTTTATAGCATAAATATCTATTTAATATTGTTTTTAGAGGTTCAAAATATATTGTAACATTGTGATAAAAGTGAACTTTTAATGAATGATATTCACATAAAAGCAATATTAATTTCGTACGCTTACATTACGCTCTGCGCCTATGTAGCTAATTCAAACAAATTGCTCCCTCTATGATTACAAGCCCGAATCTCAATGGTAATAAACAAGAGGCTATTGTCTACTGACTATAATTACAAGGAAACGGTTGCTTTCTAATTTAAGTGAGCCGCCTGGAAAGGGTTTAATTTATCACCTGCGTGGATATGCACAGTTGCTCTTTGTTCATTGCTACTTTTAAGGTAACAACTGTTAATTAGCATGAAAGCGAATACGTTATACAATTTAATAAATTCCAAACTAAAGACAGGAATATTTATATATAAGTAAATTGGGAATGTTTTCATTTTTTGTTTCTGGCATGTAAATTTTTATTAAAACTTATTTTAATAAAAATTATTCTTTAAAACCCATTCATTGGCTCAGTAGTTGTTAGGTATAGGCTAAGTGTTGAGTGTTCAATTTCTGATAACAAATTTTTCTTTAAACACTGATCAATCTCGGGAATGCCAGCTCGTAGCCATATTATCCTTTAGAAAAAAATAATTGGTGAACGGCAATTAGTACGTTTCATAGGTTTTTATTCTAATTATATGCAGATTAAACTTTCATCATCATTTCTCGGTATATGTATGTAATATCACTTGACAAAGGTAACGTTTACGTAAAAGAATTGAGTGAATTCCTGTCGGGCCGATGTTGTGACAGGATAAAAGCAAGTCTCCATTAGAGGCTCGAAAGAGCTAAATTAAAAATCGATTTACTCTCAAAACATTTATTTTAGACAAAGAACCCTTGGGGCTACTGGAAAATAATAAAGTACAAAATTACCTTTCGAACTTATATCGCTCAAAGCGAGGCCTCGGACTGACGACCCACTCAGAAAAACATCTCTCAGTGCAATACGAATATTTTAACAATGGATTCTAAATAATGTTTAAGTGATATTTGATTTTATGTTTTGTTATCTAAGTTAACAACTAATTTATTTTAAATTCGTCTTTAGGGACTTGACTTGAAGCCCTAGCTAGGTATATTAATTGTATTTTTTCTTTAAAAATTTGTTACTGTGCTGTTTGACCTTATCTTCCCTTTTGTCCATTTTCGTCTACACTTACGCTGTGATGTAAAAAGACAAGAATATTTTTTTAAAACAGTTTTATCAATTAGGTGATTTGCAAACTAACTAAATCAGATGCACGTTTTTAAAACATTATATTTTTCTAAATACGCTAAGTAGATTAAGTCTTGGTGATGGATTATAAAGGAATTCAGAGTAAACTCCCATTCATCACGGAATATTTGGAAATCACAATATAATTACGTTAATGTTTGCTAATGCTGTTTGTTGAGATTCATCAATAAATGTTTGGCAGCTTGTCATAATATTCCTTAACTTATAAGGATAGATCCTTGTCAATTAAATTTATGATAATATTTGTAATCTTTACAAAAAATTACAATGATGGGGTCGCCGAAATGTGTCCGCTCTATGTCCCATGAGAGGTAAATTTAAAATATAAATTAATGCTAGAAAATATAAATATAAATAATGTTAATTATAATTATCATTAAAATAATATACATAAATCTCGTGTCACAATGTTTGTCCTCAATGGACTCCTAAACTACCGAACCGATATCAATCAAATTTGCACACCATGTGCAGTTCGATCCAACTTGAGAGATAGGATAGTTAAAATCTCAAATTATAGCCGCAATTTTAATTTATTGAAAATATATTTTGTTTATTATTTGATACAATTCTAACAGATGGCGCTGTGTTAAAAGTACCAACGTTTCACATAAGCTAGCTACCTACCGTTTCCCTTGAATAGTTTACTACTATGTAATATATAACAAAAACCTTAGCCACAGCAACGCTTGGCCGAGTCTACTAGTAAGATTATATTTCAAACTCAATCTCAAAATAACTTTATTCATATAGGTAAACAAGTACACTAATGAACGTCAAAAAGAAGTTAAATTAATTTTAAATTTACATTTACTACCAGTTTGCTAGTCAAGGGCGTAGACCGGGCAAGAAGAACTGGCAAGAAATTTTCCGCCACTCTTTTTAATCGCTAAGTCGAATCATACAAATTGTTTAAACTCGAGCAAATCAATCGCAAGGTATAGGATCATTTAAATATGCGTCAAATTTATAAAAAGCTTTATTGATTATTTTCTTTTAAAATAGTAAGGTTAAAAATAAATAAACTTTATTTCAATAATTCTAAGTGAATTTCATTCATTCGTAATTTAAGTAAATTACTTCGATTACACTTCAATATAGCTGATTTATATAAGCAATAATTGTCATATAAGTTTTGTTAAAGACCTTGAAACAGGCTTTTGAACAACTCTTCACTGAAGTTTATTCTCGACTACGATCTAATGAAATACTTTCATGTTAAAGAAGTCTTATTATAATTTCCGACTGCATGCTATAAAATATTGTATAAATGTCAAAGAAAACTTTAGTATTTTCATCTACAATTCGTTTAACTTTGACAATTGAACGTAGAGTCCTGCCTGATTAACTTAACGTACTTCTTTTGAAAAACTTTCAAGGTTTTTAATTAAAGTAACCTTTTATTCGTAGCAAAGGTTCGAAACTTTAATTTAAGCTGGCTTTCATTAATCCAGAGAATTAGTCTCGTGAGCATTACATAGAGTGATATGGCCTTGTCGCGTCATGTCGAATACGTATCTGGGGAAATTTTCATCAATTTTCTGAGGTACTTATCCGTGTTTATGGTCCTACCTGAGCCACTTTAGTGTAAATGTATTTGACAGTATTATTAGACATGTAATAAGAGTGTAAAAACCATCGTATTGGACAATTGTCCTTGCAATAATGCTCTAACGTTATAGATTTACGACTTTATTTGTTAATTATGTATGTAAATTTTTAAAACACAAAGTATCGGATGACGTATACTAACACAAAGTATAATCGTAGTTATTTAAGTTCTGTTTAATTAAGATGAAAGTAGCGCATATTATTAGAAACCTATAAGTACTGGTAGTTTTTAACTTCACTTCTGCTCCTCAAGTAAGTTTTAAAACGTTATAGGAAATTTATAAAAACCTAAATAAAAATTAACTTGCTATATGCTGAACAAATTCAAAACCTTAAACAGCCAGACGTGCATGCATACGTTGCTTTGTTCCATAAAAGGTCTTTGTGTTCCGAAATCTCAACAACAAAAATGCGAGGCGTTGACATAATAACATCTTACCAAAACCCATTTAGGCGTGATATCTAAACTGCGACGATAGTACTCAAACCCATGAAAAGATGATTACATTGACAAATGACGCTCCCTTGAGCCCTAAGGTCGGTAATCTAGTGGCGAATGTTGTTCAATTAATTCTCCCTGCTATCTTTACTATTATTTTTCTGTCATATCTCGGAATTCTTTATCTATCCTAATTAATATCATATAACTGTCTTGTTTTTCTTTGGGTATTGTTATGATGTTCGTATATTTCTATTTTTATATTGTTATATAAAATCACATATTACAAAAAAAAATCATAACGAGAGAAATTCGATATACATAGCCCATTAAATACTATGATGATTTATGATTATTATCTATATTATTATTACCTGAAAAATAATTTACGCGTATAGGCTCAATCGTATAAAAATTGAGAAATCATAAAAAGAACATTGGCGTATTTATCATCCAAATCCTAAATAAATACAAACAAATGTCGCTTTATTCCTCTAGGCTTTCATGTTAAAACCGTCACTTGTTTTGGTATATACTGGACCCTGAGAAAACATTCGACGATTTTTGTTCTTATACTACGCAGACCAGGTTGGGAGCTACGGATACACAAAAGCTTTTGTTTAGTCATCCGTTATTTGTGTTTGTATATCTATTCGGCCGTGATTAATACATTTATAATCTGATTTAACTGAGTCGAACACAAATCCGATTTCCTTACAATTATTTAGCCTAATGAAGGTCGTCTATTTACGACTTTGAACACAATAATTTGATTTGTGACAAATGTTTACATTTTGTCGTTTGATTATTGTTAATGCTGGTTCGAATACTGATTTTTAACTGTACCTTATCGTTTCGCGTCAACAGGTTTACTTTTGACAGCTTAAAGCCGGTCTCCCATATTCGTAAAAATATTATTGATGGAACATTGGATTCTACCAATGAGTACCGATAAAAGGGTCCAATTTGACTGATTTAGTTTTCATGAATTATTGATAAAACTAATATTTTTTTGTTTAATCAGTAATTTTGTTTTCTCTTAGGTAACTGTTATACTACTAATGCTTATATAATGATTTTAAAGTTTGTTTTTTTGTTGAATCAATTAGTAACTGCAAAGTCAGTTTGGGTTTGAATTCTATGATCCATGACACTAAGAACGAATCAACTAATTTTACATAGCTCAACTAAAAATAAAACAA